TGGCTGAAATACACGCTCTCTTGGCTGTGGGTGAATTCGTGGCGTGTGTGATCGCACCATTCTGCTGTGTTCTTATTATTCTCGAAATTGTGTAACGGGACAAGCATGTTATTCCTTTGGACGTAGATATCCCCATCCGCAGGCTTTGCGTGGACAGCTCCTCTCCTGCGGACCTCGGCATACCTGGGGGCTGTGCTCAGAGAGGGTTGGCACTGGCCACCAGCACGAGTCACCAAGCATGCTGCTGATTTCGGAGTGGGCAAGGTGGACGAGATCCGTTCTCTGCAGACTGATGGGGTCTGCCTCTTCAAGGCAAGAGTCTGTGACCAGACCGCGGTCTCATCTCACACCGTTCTCTGCCCTACGCCGTGCCCCGAAATGCGTGTGTCCCTTACCCCGGACGCCGAGTAGATACAAAGGCTCAGGGGGACGGACAGGTGCACCTGGATGCCACCTGCTCCTCTGCCTTGTCTTCGCTTTGCACATCCCCGGGACCCTGCCTGAGGCCAAGGGCCACCATTCAGCTGTGTTTTGCGCAGTTCCTAACACGGTGTCTTGCTCAGGACGCATGGCTATGTGTGCTGGGGACTTGCCCTTCGGTGACGTGGTCTGATGTGGGGGTTCCCTCCACTGCGTCCACTCACTTGTCGGCAGAGCCGGAAACGTCTGTGTGACCTGGTTCATGAGCCGGAAGTCCTGGGTCAGGCATAGCAGAGGACCGTTTAAGAGGAGGTACTAGCATGTTCCGTCCTAAGTTTGCCTTTGCTGGTGGATTACTGGGTGTGAGATTATAACATTTTCTGGAATGTTCCATTGGTAAATGAAGCTCCCTGAAACATGCAAAAAAACAACGTAAGCTGTCTTAAACTTGTAAGACTTGGGTTTTCATTAGCAGGTTGCTAGGACACCACTGATGAATGTTGGAGATGGTAGTTGATGAGAGAAGGCAGGTGCCTCTGGCCAGCTGTGACCGCATCTCCGATCCTCTGTCTTCATGTCGGCTCCATGCTGACAGTAGCTTGAAACTCCACGTTTGGCTTTGGACACACACACACACACACACACACACACACACACGTGTTTGTGTATATATGTCTCTTGTCTTTATATCCTTTATATTTTCATTTGTATTTATTTTTCTCCCGTTTCCTTCCCATATACTTTCTTCTATAGTTTCATTATAATTTATATTTCAAAGTTTTGTAATATTTTAAGATGGGGAGCCTAATTTTCTCCTTATAAAATGTCCCTGTTTATTCGAGGATGAGTCTTCTTTTGTAAGATTTTTTGAGAGAGAGAGAAAAATCAAAAGGATGAGTTAAAATGCAGGGAAAGAAACAGCTCAAGTTTCCCTTTAGACAATTTAAATAATAATGGTCCTGTGTGTCACCGCATCCCTTTTCTGGGGAGGATTACAAAGGACACTCTGAGTGCAGAGACCGCCCACTGTGCTGGGAATTCGGATCAGGAATACATTTCCAGTTCCTCCTCAGCTCCCCTGCAGTGTCTGAAGGCTGCCTCCTGAGGCCCGGCCTGTGTGTCCAGAGCAGCCCTGATGGCCACTGGCCCGGAGTTAGGGTGTGGGCTTCGGTCTGAGGGAGCAGCATGCTCTGTCGCCCCGCAGGCCCTTGGTTGGCCGGCTGCCTGGGAAGATACAGGCCACAGCATGTTTTCGTTCTAAGTCACCGAAGCCCCACGCGCGCAAGTCGCATAGTAAGCATTTCGGAGGCTGACCAGGAACCCCTGTCTTGGCTGCTGGGAGCCTCCTCTCCCGGAGCCCTCGAGCAGGTGGTGAGTGGATGACGTGAGCACCCACAGAGTCAGGGTCCTGCCAGCAGGGACCACAGGGCACGGAAAGGCTGGGCGGGCGGGAAGCCACCGGATCACGGCAGAGGCTGGTCCCCGAGTCAGTGCGTTCTGCGCCCCCTACCCGAGGGCTTAACCTTGGTCGGACTTTTGAGTTCACAAGTCTCCCTCTGCAGTGGCCTTGGCCGTGCGGATTTGCAGCACCACTAAGCTCTGCAGGGAAAATCATTCCGAGTTCCCAGCGCTTAGCTCGCCCGCCGAGTGAGGCAGGTGGTCTGTGCGCATGGGCGGCCCGGAGCCAAGGCGGGTCAGAGACCTAGCAGCTGTCGTTGCTGTCGTACTAATTACTATTATTCCGATGACCTGGAGAGGGTGGGGGCCAGACCAGCACCTGGACGCACCTTGGGCGGCTCCACAAACGGGTGCCGGCCTGCCCAGCGGTTCCCTGAGGCTCTGGGGTGGCTGAATGTGCCGGGGATGGAGAACCCTGGGCGAAGGGTTTGGAGGGAATGGGAGATGTCGGGTTCGGTCCGTTTACCTGGCAGTTGCAAATGGGCCGCTTTGGGTCACCCCAGAAGCCAGGAAGACAAGGTTCTGAGCTGGTTTGGGTGATTCTTTGTGCCAGACACGCCCTCTGCGACCTCTGAGCCAGGGACAGCCTTCCCTGCGGCCGATTCACACCCAGGCATCGCTCTGCGGGCTCAAGGGGGACATTACGGAGGGGCTGCCGGCTTCTTGTCCCCACTCACAGTGGGTGCAGCACTTGGACAGAAAACTGTGTTCTGTCTGCTGAGCTTGCTCTGAGGTTTCTGTGTGTGAGCCGTGCCAGTCATTTCCCCAGAGGGTGTCCCACCAGCCACGACGCCAAGCCGACGAGGTGTGACGCAGAGAGTGAGCGCCCCAGCTTCCTCCGGCTTCGCGGCTGGCCCACGCGTCACCTGTCCAGGGGCATGGTCCGCTAGGCCGGACTGCGCTTTGCCGCGTGTGGAAAGACCACACCGGCTACAAAAGCAAGAGAGTGTGTGAGAAGCCACAAAAGCCATAAACATCTGTGAGACGTTTCCGGCGGCTCCTCGTTAGGGGCCCCGCGCCCTCTGATGGGGTGCAGCGCCCCCCCTGCCTGTCCAGGGACCGTGAGATGTGCAGCCCGATTAAACAGGTGGCCCAGCTGCTGGGGACACACGTCTGGGTGACCAGCCTGGGCACACTGGGGGTGGCCGTGGTTCTGTGCCCGAGCCCCGGGCGGTCACCGAGCCCCGCAAGGCCCCAGAGCAGGTGTTTCCGGGACAGCGCTTCCGATTTCCGATGGCGGCGGCTCACCCAGTCCACCTCCCTGCGTCAGAAATGGTCCCGGAGGAAACAGGACCTGCAGGGCGGAGGCAGCATGGGGATGTTTTCAGTTCCAGAACAACAGGGACGCGCTTTTTAAAATGTCTTTTAACTTTTCATGAGGAAAATTTCAAACCCACGGAAGCGGAGAGGGGGATGATGGGTCCCCAGGTGGCCTCGAGAATTCACCCTTTTCCACCTCCCCGCTACCCCAGCGTAACACTTGGAATTTTTATATATCGCACAAAAATGACATTTAACTCAAAGTTCAGAGGTCAGTCCAATGGTAGGCATCCTTTAGATATGGGGTGTTATAGAATCTGTTCACCTGGGGGCGCTGGATCGGGGACACCTGTGACCAAAGACATTCCCACTGGAGACAAGCGTCTTCAGTGTGGCCTGCAGAACACCCCGCCCACCAACTGCTGGTCCGTGACAAGTCCGGAGATGAGAGCAAGGACCCTTATGGCCCTTGGGCATTGCTGCTCCGATATACACGGGCAATTTTGAGGTATTTCTTTTTTATTATATTTTACAAAGTCAGCAACACATTGGGAAAAACACAATCCTTCACGACAAACAGTTCGAGGTGTGGTTCCCTACAGCCTGTGGCGGGGCCCCTCAGTGGACGTTCAGCAGCGTGGAGGTGGTCTGAGTCCCGTGGCCCCTCAGTGGACGTTCGGCAGCGTGGAGGTGGTCTGAGTCCCGTGGCCCCTCAGTGGACGTTCGGCAGCGTGGAGGTGGTCTGAGTCCCGTGGCCCCTCAGTGTTGGCAGCGTGGAGGTGGTCTGAGCCCCGTGGCCCCTCAGTGTTGGCAGCGTGGAGGTGGTCTGAGCCCCGTGGCCCCTCAGTGGACATTCGGCAGCGTGGAGGTGGTCTGAGTCCCGTGGCCCCTCAGTGGACGTTTGGCAGCGTGGAGGTGGTCTGAGTCATCATGGGGTGGGGGGAGGTGGAGGTGCTGCTGATATCTGTGGGTGCACACAGCAGCTCCCCCACACAAAGCGTGCGCTGGCCCTGAGTTGGGGAGCTGGGGCTGAGAAGCCGCCGGCCAGAGCAGGGCTCGCTGCTGGGGCCTCGTCTAAGGGAGGTTTCAGGTGGAAGCCGTCGGCCTGATGCCTGTCAGGAACTTCATCCAGTCCTGTCGCTCAGGCAATTACCATGGTTTGTGGGGGAAGAGCACGCGGCACCTGGTCTCTGGCGACCGCCAGGCACAGACTACAGTACTGCCGGCTGGAATCACGACCCTGAGCGCGAGATCTCCCAAACGTCCTCCTCTTCTACCTGCAAACGTGCCCCCCGCCCCCCACCCCAGCAATACTAATTTTAGGGAGCGTCCACAGCTGTGCGAAGCCCGCGTGAATGTCCAGGTACAAGGAGCATTGCAGAGGCCACTCCGGAAAGGGCGAAGGTCCTGTTTCCGGGCACCTTAGCTTGAGCTCGCCCACGCGTCCTGAGTGGGCCCAGTGGGGGTCTCCAGCGTGGCAGCGGCGGCTCCCGCCCCGGGTGGGCGGCGCTCAGGCGCCCTGTGGCTCCCTGGCCGGTCCGGAAGTGGCAGGTGCCGCCCCGTCTGGGCGCGCGGGCCGAGAGAAGGGCCCGAGGCCGAGAGAACGAGCTGTGGTTGGGGGGCGACGTAGGCGGCCTCCACGTGCCGCCTGCAGTGTGCTTCGGGGAGACCTGCGGCCATCCGCTGTGGGGACGGCCCCGAGCCAGGGCTGCAGACCGTCCAGCAGGGGTGGGGATGCTTTTCCCGGAAGGGGACAGTCCCTCCTGGCGCCCTGGGCACTCACTGCAGCGCCCTCTCCTTCCCCAGACGGGGGGCGCTGCCACTGGGACCCACAGCCTCTCTGCTCCCTCCCTTGACTGCAGGAGAAGCCCTACAAGTGCTCGGAGTGCAGCAAGGCCTTCAGCCAGAAGCGAGGCCTGGACGAGCATCGGAGGACGCACACCGGGGAGAAGCCGTTCCAGTGCGATGTGAGTCAGCGGCCCCTTCCTCTCGCGGTCCTCCACCACCAGGAGGGCTGTGTGTGCGCGTGCGTGTGCCTGAGTGTGCGTGTGCCTGAGTGTGTACATGTGCCCGGGTGTGTGCGTGTGCCTGGGTGTGTGCATGTGCCTGGGTGTGTGCGTGTGCCTGGGTGTGTGCATGTGCCTGAGTGTGCATGTGCCTGAGTGTGCATGTGCCTGGGTGTGTGTGTGTGCCTGGGTGTGTGCGTTTGCCTGAGTGTGTACATGTGCCCGGATGTGTGCGTGTGCCTGAGTGTGTGTATGTGTGTGTGTGCATGTGCCTGGGTCTGTACATGTCTGTGTGGGCATGTCTGAGTGTGTATATGTCTGAGTGTGTGTGTGTGCATGTTTGAATGTGTGTGCCTGTGGATGTGCACATGTGTGTCTGAGTGCATATGTGTCTGGATATGTGTGTGTCTCTGTGTGTGTGGGGGGGATTGTGTGTGTGTGTGTGAGTGTGTGTGTGTCTGGGTGTGTGTGGGAGTGTGTGTTTGAGTGTGTGTGTGTGTCTGGGGGGTGTCTGGGTCTGTGTGTGTGAGTGTGTGTGAGTGTGTGTGTGTCTGGGGGTGTCTGGGTGTGTCTGAGTGAGTGTGTGTGTGTGTGCTAATGTGCTGTCCCTGCCTGTGGCTGTGCCCCAGGTAAGCGCAGGGTAGCAGTTCTCCCGGTTTCCTGGCGGGGGTCAAGCCTGACTCCCCCAGAGGTCTGGCTCCTGCTCCAAGGCCGCTCAGCCTTTCTTCCCGTGTGAGCACTGCTTCCCGGCGGCTCCCTGGCGCCCACCCGGGTCTGTGCTGGGCTCACAGCAGTCCGACCGGGGACTGAACTGGTCATAGATACTATTCGTTAAAGCCAAACATGAATTTCTAGACCATGCGTAAACGCTTTTGTTTAAACAATACCACTTGCTTAGATGTTCTGCTTATGACATTTGAATTGGAATGAAATTATCGACATAGTTGTTTTTGTTTATTTTTTTATAATTTTAAAAATATGATTTATTATTTTTTCGAGAGAGAGGAAGGGAGAGAGAGAGAAACATCAATCAGCTGCCTCCTGCACGCCCCCTGCTGGGGATTGAGCCCGAAACCCGGGCATGTGCCCTGACGGGGAATCAAACCGGGACCTCTCAGTCCATGGACCATACTCAGTGCACTGAGCCACACCGGCCGGGCAAGTCATATATTTTTTTAAATTCACTGGGATGACATTGATGAATAAGATTATATAGGTTTCAAGTGTATTTGTGGCAACATGGATGGCTCTTGAGAATGTCAGGCTAAGCGAAATAAGTCAGAAAAAGTCAAGAACCCTATGGTTTCACTCACAGGTGGCACATTAAACTGAGACGAAGAATCAAGGAGTATTTTAAGGGAATAAGTAAGCGAATCTGTGGCCGCTTCCCGCTCACGTACAGTCGGTCCCGGCTGGGAGCGGAGCCCGCTGGCCTCCTGACTCCAGGCTGCCCGCTCCAGCTCACTGCCGGGATGACGTCTGTTTCACGTCTGTTTAGAATTCTTTCCCGCGTTCCCTCCACCAGCAGAACATGCCCAGTGTCGGGTGATGACCAGGCTCTCCAGGATGTGGGGCCTGGAGCTCTAATTTCTTTTCCAACTTACTTCTCAGCTGATGCCTGGGCTTGGGCCTTGGTGACCTGTTTGCTGCCCCACATACGCCTTGCACCCCAGACCTCAGGACCTTGGCATATCCCTGTCCCGAATGTCGCTCCCCACTTTAGACATGGTGGCCCCACGCCCCCGGGAAGAGGGGGTTGCTCTCTCTCTGGGCCTTGCTCAACTTCATGCTCGTGACCGTCCACACACTCGTCCTTGAGACTGTGGACTCCATGGGGTCAGGACAGACACCTTCCTCATTCTGTTCCTGACGGAAGAGGCAGGCACATTCTACGTGACAACTACTTGTTAACCGACAAGTTTGTACAGAACTCTAACATTCTCTCAAGGTGCTTTCTGTTAAATGTTTTTTCACTTTATTTTACAACGAAATCCCTTGACCTCCAGCCTAGAAAGATGTTCCCGTCCTTGGCACGTGAGTGAGTACCACCTGGACTGGGCGGGAACGCAGGTAGGAGTCAGGGGCGGAGGAAGCACAGAGCCCCTGTTGCGTGTTTGAACTCTGTTCCCCCCCGTATTTAAAACAACTACAGTCATCCTTGCCTGGGGCTGACTTACAGAGCATCAGACAAGGTCTCTCTCTGGCTGCCCTGCGTTCAGGAAACAGCTTTTAATGTCCACGTGGTTGTTCCACAGCTGTGACCTCAGCTACTCCAAACCCTCTGCCCTGGTCGGCACGCAGCCCTCTGTCCGAGGGTCCCAGGCCATGTCCTGGATGAGCGCCCAGGACTCGAATCCAGAGCCCTTGGTGTTGACGTCAGCACCTGCTTCAGCTGCCCTGACTTCCCACGGTGACCCCGTAAATGGACTCACCCTCGACTCCTCACAGCCCTCCAGGGGCCCAACCGTCTGAAAACCTCCTTTTTAAAAAAAGAGGAGTTCATTTCTTAATAACAGTGTCAGCCAGACAAATGGAAGATGTTCAGTCAGCTCGCATGTCTGTCTGAAGTGTGACACTTTAAAAATAGTTGGCCCTGGGCAGAGTTCTTTCTATTGCAAATGATCTCTAGATGCCTTCTTTGATTTCTTCAGAATTAGTCCACAGCCTTTGGGGCACTTATATTGCTCATGGGGATTATATTTATCTACCAGGCATCTTCCTTCCTTCCTTCCTTCTTTCTTTCCTTCCTTCCTTCCTTCCTTCCTTCCTTCCTTCCTTCCTTCCCTCCCTCCCTCCCTCCCTCCTTCCTTCCTTCCATCCTTCCTTCCTTCCATTCACCAAATATGTTTAGGGTAACTGCTTTTGCCCTCCTGTTCCTTAGGCTAGGAAGGAGGCGGGTGTAGAAACAATGTCACACAGCTAAATGCCCTCAGGTTAGGGTTATGAAGGGAGAGTAAGGCTCCCAGGAGCATCTGACCGCCGACTCTCCGGGAGGACCCCAGGGCTTCCCTGAGGCCTGAGGAGGGGGAGCCCAACACGGAGAAGGGGGAGCACCAGTGCCTGCAGGGAAGGCTGTCCTGGCCGAGCTCAGTGCGTTCCCCTACAGCGGTGAGGACCCAAGGGACAGTTTCAGGGAACAGTCTGACAGTATTTATGAACATTTTTCTAACTGCTGTGCGGAGCGTGGACGGTGGGGGTGGGATGAGAAAATCCAGAGAGATTCAGACGGGATTACCAGCTGGGCCCTTTGTACACCTGCACTTCATGTAATGTTGTTAACCAGCAGCACCCCGTTGCACTTAAGTGAGGAAATAACAACTATTTGCTGTAGCACAACGGGCTGCTGCTCGCGTATCATTCAACATGCAGTGTCACGTGGCGGACACGCAGGCCGAGCGGCCTGAGCAGGCCCGTGCCTTTCTGAGTCTCTGGTTGCCGTGAAGGTCAAATCCTGCTTCCCCAGCAACACGGCCCCCTTTTCTCCGCTCCGTATCTTCAGGGGTCTCCTCCTCAGAACCTCAGCTCCGCCCGGCGTGTTCCCAGGCCGTGCGTCTCCCGGCACACTCGTGTGTGTTCAGGGCATTTCTCCGTGTTGCATTCTGTTGCCTTATCCTACGGCGGGTGCGCTTTTGAGGAATTTCATGCAAATGGAAATTCAGTGAACGACACCAAACTGGGAATGAAAACTTGGCACTAAAAGACCTTCATTTCACTTTCTTTTATGACCTGAATAATCATGCCTTCCATCTTCTGTGTAAATATAATGTTGTGGTTTTTTTTAATCCTCATCCAAAGATATTTTTCCATTGATTTTTTTTTTTGGGGGGGGGAGCATGGGAGGAAGGGAGTGGGAGAGAGAGAAACACTGATGTGAGACACATTGATTGGTTGCCTCCCGTACGACCCTGACCAGGCTGGGGATTGAACCCACGACCGAGGGGTATGCCTTTGACTGGGAATTGAACCAGAGACTCTCTGGTCCGCGCCAGGGGTGGGGAACCTTTTTCTGCCAAAGGCCATTTGGATATTTATAACATTATTCATACAAAATTATCAACCTAACAATTAGCCCGCTGTGTTTGATCAGCTGATGGGAGGAGCCGTGTGCTGGGAGCTGGTGTCCATTTCGAGGGCCTTGCACAGCCCGCGGCCAGACGGTCCCCACCCCTAACCCCTGAGCCAAGCGGCCAGAGCGAACATGACGTTTGTGATCGGGTTGGTGATCGGGTCGCTGAATGCCTGGTGCGCCAGGGCTGATGGCCGAGCTCACGTGAGGTAAACCCATGGACCTGTAGTCGGGTGAGGCAGCAGCAGGAGAATAAAGACCTGGAACAGTGGGTGAGGATGCCCGGGCAGAGCTAACCCTTCCCTTCACAGACAGGACAAACTGAAGGGGCGCTGGGGAGGCACACCCCGCCCTTCGTGCCACTTCGAGAGGTGCCCTCTGGACCACAGGCATTTCGTTTAACAGGCTTAATCGGAAATGGTCGTACAGTCCACTCTGGGGAGGAAGATACTGTTCCAGGAGCTGTTTCCCGATGTGTAGACACAGTAGCGTGCCGTGGGGACAGCTCTTGGGACCTGCGATCGATGTTCGTTACCCTGTTGGATGCTGCCTTCCTCTCATCTCGGGCGGTGGCTGTCGGCGCGGCCAGGCAGCAGGCAGGGCCACCGTGTCCCCTGCAGGGAGGGTGAGCGCATGGGCCCGTGTGGTGAGGTGTGACTGTCTCTCTGGGTCTCTCCTAGGTCTGTGACCTGGCCTTCAGCCTGAAGAAGATGCTGATCCGACACAAGATGACTCACAACCCCAACCGTCCGCTGGCAGAGTGCCAGTTCTGCCACAAGAAGTTCACGAGGAATGACTACCTCAAGGTGCACGTGGACAACATCCACGGCGAGGCTGACGGCTGATGGCGGCTGGCCACGTGGGCGCCGGGCCCCGGCTCCCAGCTCCCCGCCGTGGGCGCCACCGCGGTGCCAGCCTCGCTCCCTGGTCTCAGCCTCTTCTGCCCACCTTCAGAGTCTGTGGACACAACACGCAACAAAGAATACAAGATCCCTCTTTGACCGAGAAATGGGACCCGTGAAAAAAAGTAACTTTGTAACCTTACAAATACAACTTGTGCTCTGTTCTGCACAATTGGCAACAGAGCCTCGGCTGTCCTTGGTCATCTCTGTAATGAAGTCTATTAACATCCCGGTACTGGGCCTTTTTATTTTATTGTTATTTTTGCACACGCACGTGTGTGTGCACTTGTGCACATGCTGGTTATTGCGACTGGTTATTGCTGATTTAGCCAGAAAGAAATGAAGATACTTAGTGCAGACCGGGGGCAGGGCGAGAGCTTTCAACACTCGGGCATGAAAACCAGATGAAACGCTGTTACCAGGGGAAACAGACCAAAGGCGACCTCGCGTCACATCGCCCTTCGCAGTTAGTTCAAAGTAAGGAGGATCTAAGAACTGAAGCGCCTACTGGAATGTCGCCCTTGTGCACAGCCCCTAGGAAGCACCCGGCTGGCTGTCATCTACACAGACTCTCCTCCGGGGAGGTCTGCGCAGAGGTGACGACGCTGCCACACTCGCCACGCCGGGCCCCCTGGGCTCAGGCCAGCCCTGCGGACACGAACCACACAGACACGCGGCCGAAACAGAAGCAGGACGGCCCCTGGGCTCGGGGCCGACAGTGGCGGCCGGCGCGAGGGGACCCTGTCAGTGACGAGCCCAGCGCCCAGCCCCCGCAGCGTCACAGGTCGTGTGCAGACAGGACCCCTCCGAGCAGTTGCGTTCTGTTTTGAAAAGGCCAGTTCCCAGACTCTGGCAGGAGCCGCTCGGAAACACCTTTGGGTTCCCTTCCATCTTCCTGCGCGGACTCGAGGAGAAGTCAACCCTGGCGTTTGTTAGGATGAGATGGTCGCTGACGCTTCAGGGAGACGGGGGCAAGGGGTGGCTTCCTCCTCTGGTCACATTTCAATCACTGCGTGAGAGCAGCCCAGGACAAACCGCCTGTCTGGGGAGGAGGTGGGAGAAGTGGGTCGGTGCTGTCAGGCCGCGTACCGAGGGACCCGAAAGCAGGGACACGAAGCCCACACTCGGAACCGCTCGGTCCGAAGCCCAGTGCAGGGCGCGGGATCCTCAGAAGTTACCTGTTCTGAGGACTTGGGGAGACACGCAATCCAGAGACAGTGCTCTGAAGTCAGGAATCTCATGTCGCAGTTATATTCAGGCTCTGTTCCAGATTTTGGAGGAAAAAAAAAAAAGATTCAGTATAGATATATAAAAATACTAAATTTGGAGTTCACCAGAGATGACTCTAAAAACATACCCCCCCCCCCGATTGTCATTTAGGAGCCGTCTCCGTGTGGCTCTGTAGCATCGTGTATCTGAAATTACAGACTATTTCACGAGGGCGGCCTGGGCTGTCCCTCCCGTGTCCCTGGTCTCCGGTGTGTTTTTAGATCCGCAGCGCGTTCGGCGAGCTGGTCTCTGAGCGTAAAGGGACAGCTGGGCCGTTCGGGTGGCATCACTTACGTCCACACGATGCTGGGGGTGCTGCCTTCTCTAGACGGGGTGCTTCCCGCCCCGGTGATGGGATGCATGGGACCCGAGAGAGGAAACCAAACGCTGATCTGGGGGGACCTCAGCACCCCACAGGCTGCTGGGGAAGTTACCCCTGAAATCACGTGTCACTGGGCTGCAGGGTAAAGCAACCAGAAAGAGCTGCCGTGTCAGGAGGAAGGTCCGTAGTGGAGGGAACTTGAGGAAAGTTGTGCGAGACCCGCCATCTGCCCTTCCTTTTCTCTATTGCTTTTAGAGAGAGGAAGGGAGAGGGAGAGAGAGAAACATCGATGAGAGAGAACATCGACTGGCCGCCTCCTGCAGGCCCCCCACTGGGGATCGGGCCCACAACCTGGGCATGTGCCCTGACCGGGGATCGAACCGGCGACCTCTCGGTGCAGGGTCGACGCTCAGCCACGGAGCCGCACCGGCCGGCCATCCTGCTGTTTCCAGGCACTGAGCCCAAACCAGGTGCTTGGGGACCGTGCGCTGTCCCCGTCCATCCCGAAGACGTCTGGCAAGAAGCCCTGCAGGCCCACAGCGTTCATGTCCTGCACTTTCCATCTCTTAGCAACATCGGCAAGGTGACATTTTTAGGTTTGACTGGGAATCGAGAGCAGGATAGTCGTCGAGGAAAAGGCTTGGGCAAGCTGGAGCAAGGGCAGCCCTTGGAACCCCCTTCCTCCCCCTTCCTGCTGCCACAGAGCGTGGCCCACGCACCGTCTCGGGAAGAGGGCAACGCTCAGGTGTCCGTGAAGTCAGCTCAGTAATTTTAAGAGGCATTCAGTATAGGTAGGTTCCGAAATCCCATTATAGTCATTAGCTTTGAATATGGACATTCAAGGTATTTGTAGATATCGATTTCTTTCTGTTTCATAATTACTGGCTTATATTATTTTCTGTTCCTCCTCCTCCTCTTTTAGTTATTGTTGGCTAGATAGGTACTTCGTCGATGGGCCATGATCAAGTTACAGCAGAAGAGCCTTCATTGGGGATTCATTCTTGGGGTTGCACAGGGTAGTTCAAATGCTACTCCAAAGAAACATCTATTTCGTGCGTGTGCATGTGTATGCGTGTCCATGTGTGCATGTGTGTCTGTGTGAGTGCACGGGTGCATGTATGCACATGTGTATGTGTGCACATGTGTGACCACAGAGCAACCTCTCTTGTGAAGCTTATACATGCGCGTGCATTACTTTGCTCCAGACTCTCTGCACCTGTCTGGCCAGCTCACTGCCGGTGTAGCGTGGATCACGGGAGGTCGCAGCTCAGCTCGTGTGTGAGCTCGTTGTGCTGTGGCCTCTTCCACGGCTAGGAGGGAGGGAGGGAGGGAGGGAGGGAGGGAGGGAGGGAGGGCGCACAGGTACGGGAAATACTCGTTTCTCCCTTCACGGATCTAACTATTGCTTTTGAAAACTCCTCTTGTGCTTGTGCATATTTCTCCAAATAATAAGTAGGTTGGAGGAAGCATGACTCTTTAAGGCCCCGGGACTCCACCACTGGTGTGGAGGTTCGTTGGCGTGTCCATAAATGAGCTTCGGTAGCACTTTACTCTGAGTCTGTAATAAATTTATATAAAGCTCAGTCACAGTGGTGTTGGCCCTGGGTTTTGCTATAGAACCATAACTAGCACAGTTCTGTAGTAACAGATGAACACTTTAAAGTTGTCTTTGCTGAAAGAAGAAAAGTGAATTGCCATTACTCCCTGGCCTCATGCACCCCGTTTACTTCTGAGTGCTTCTCGATGGGAACTATCCCGAGGGCTGAGTTGCTCTCAGAGCAATGAGACAGAGCGCCCTCCCAGGTCTGCCCCGGCCCCCAGCAACGGCACTGGTGAGGAGAACCCCAAGATCGGCAGACACCTGACTCACGGGCGCATCTCAGCAAGAACGTCCTCATGCTCACACACCGAAGGCTGATGAAAGTTATGGCACACGTTTTAGGTGTTCCTGTTTCTAAAGTTGTATTTGATCATCTTGGTGCTGCCCTGATCTTGAGAGGTTTCCCTGATGCAAAAGAAAAATCATCGCCATCGTCATCGTGAGCAGCCAGTGGTAGATCGGACACGGCGCAGTCACTAACCGTGGTCTCCCGGTCAGCCGAGGCGCCAGCTCTTCGGAGCCCGGACCACCCTGGGCTCAAAGTGACGTCATCACCCAGGTTGTGAGTTTGTTGTGTGACGGAATACAAAACATCTATGTTGTGCATTTTCCAAAGTGTTTACCCTCGGGTGAATGTTTAAGCCTGTTGTATTTAAAATTTACAAGGTGAATCCACAATTGTCCTACACTCCGGAGGTATGTCTTCTAGCTGTGCATGTGTGTGTGTATTTGTGCGTGTGTGTGTATGTGAGTGTGCATGTGTGAGTGCATGTGTGTGTATTTGTACGTGTGTGCATGTGAGTGTGTGTGTGTTTGTGTGTGTGTGTGTGTGTGTGTGCATGCCCATTTGTGCACTTGGAAAGCTTTATACTGAAATATCCTAAGAGAGTTTCAAGTAACACTAACCATTTTCTCAGATTCTTATTCTCGGAAAAACTGGTCTCAAAATGAATTTCACTTTCTGAATTTTGGAGAACCAAGAGTTTGAACGTATCTTTTAAGACGACTCACAAGATCCAGGCTAAAATTATTTTTACTGTCCTTTCCACGTGCCACATGACAGTAGATTTCGCAGCTTGGGAGAATTTGGGCAAAGAGAATTTACGTTGCAAGCTTTACAAGGGGAAGTCCTTCACTGTTTCCCTCTAAGAAAATTCCAACTACTGAGGTCAGTTGTTTTTACTCAAGGTAACAGTTAATTGGTTAAGAGGCGGGGCCGCTGAAGGAATTATTGGCATCTAATACGTGCAATGAGCTTCCACAGCAGATAGAAATAGTACGTTCTAGAGCCAGCGGCCCTCCTGGACACCCTGCCTGTGAGCTGAGTGACCGCAGCTGCTTGTCCCCATGCTCAGAGGACAGCCTTGCACGTACCTGTCCCGGTGTCCTACTGAGCGCTGGCTCGAACCTACACACGCTACAAACATCTGCGATCGTCCGTTTGATAAATGTTGCCGCTTTTAACCGATAACTATTTAATCAGTGTCGACATCTAAAAGGCATTGCAAATATGGCCGTTTGGGGGTAACCTGCACCCGGAAGAGGCTGAGATGCCAAGTGGCCGTTTGGCCCGAGCTGTGCTCGTGGTGGGGAACCACGGCGCGTGGCCCCCCAGCACCTCCCGTGTGCAGTGGGCGCCTGTGGGTGCTCATCACCCTCCCTCCCTCCACGGGCCCGTGTGCCAAAGACGGGGCTGGGACCAGCTGGGAGCGGAGCTAGTCCACTGTACTCTGGTCTAGCGTATCAGCCCGTGTGGCTCACCTGTACCTGTGCAGGCACCGGTGCCAGCAAGCTTGGGACAGCGCCATCGATCACAGAGCCGTCCAGGTGAGCTCGGCCGTGGAGTAGAGCAGGTGCAGAGCTTCTGAGTTTCAGTCGATCCAAACTCCTGTACAGTCTGCAGCATGAGCTCTATGGTCAGATGTGGCTGGATTCGCACCGTGACCTCAGGGGGGGGAGGGGCTGCGACAGCTGACTCACGTTGGGAGGTCGGTGACGGAGGCAGACGGGGTGACACAGAGAAGTCTCCAGTGGGTCCCCGACACCATCCCGAGTCTGCTCGTGCTGTGGTGCAGGTGGGACGCAGCCTGTGCCACGTGGTCCTCGGACAGACAGGGCCCAGGGACGGACCGGAGGACACTGGCTTCACGGACACGTGCTGACAAGGAGCAGACCCCAGATGCTGAGCTGAGGTTCAGCGACGGCAGATCAGCAGTAAGGTGGCAACGACGTGGAGGCTTGTAGACAGTGTCCTGCTGAAACGAGACAGGGACGGGAGCTTGGCCCGTCGGACTCCCAGGCGTCATGTCAGGCTCGAGTCTGTTACCATCTCTACCAGGCCCTCCCAGAAATCACGGTCCGGGGCCTGCCTGGTCCTCGGACCCGCACACAGCCGCCGGATGGTGCAGTGTCGCCGCTGAAACCCATACTTCCCGGGACGGCTCTTCTGGCTCCTGGACTCAGCCTTTGTCTCAACCCTGCATTTC